CAGCCTGAACTCCTACACCCTCAGCACATGTGAAAAGAAACTAAAGGGCTTGGTTGAATATGCAAATCAACCAACTGGGAAGCCAACACGTACAGTTTCAGATGTTCTAGGTGAAATTCTCCTCCTTTATCAGCGCAAATCAAATGTGCAGAATGAGATACACCGGGAACAGCTAGCCCGGGTACTAGAAGAAGGACAGATCCTGGGACGACTTCGAAAGAATGCAGGATAAACTAAAGACCTTGCAGGAAAATTGCAAGGCCCTGCAGGAGGAGAATAAAACACTGCATGAAAGCAGCAAACTGGCCGAACAGAAGAAACGAAGTGACACGGTACCCAGATTTCAGGATAGGCAGATAAGTACTGCAGCCCCCAGATCAGCTGAGGAAACCTCAGACGAAGGATGGGAGACTGAAACAAGCCCCTGGAGGAGGGAGACAGACATGTTGCAGGATCTGGAGGAGAGGGGAAGGCACCGCCGGGTCGACCCAGGCACAAAAGCGCCCACGTCCTCAGACCACCCGGTAAAGAGCTGGATGATTAAAGATGAAGGGCCCCCGCGTTCCGCAATACGCTTTGAGCGAAGAGAACCCTCACCCCGCAGGAGGAGAGGCTTTACTCCCCCTAGAGACAGGGAGGAGACACGGGCCCAATTGGGCACCGAACGCTACCTGTCCCACGATAGACGGCCACGTCTGAGCCGAACACAAACCCCGCCACGGTTACAACCCTACTACCGTGACAACCACAGGGCTTACGATTCGTCAGACGAATCGGACGACCCTTGCCAGCCTTCGGGTCAGGGCCTGCGAACCAGGCAGATAGAACCTCAGGCCAAAGATCTGAAGCGTTTTGACCCAGATAGCCCAGATTCAAGTATTAACGACTACCTTAGAGAAGTTGACCATTGTCTCCTTGACCTGCCTCATGCGTCCTCACATGAAAAACTGAAACGGATCTGGAAGACTACGGCTAGGAGTGTCCGTGATTTCATGGGGACACTCCCACCAAAGGTCCGATCCTTGCAGAAAGGAAACAAATCTGTTAGTCAGCACTTACAAACTGCCAAGCAGAAAGTGTTGGACATGTTTGAATTAATTCAGGGAGCACAGGTAAGCATGGAGCAAGACATATCGTCAGGATATGACTCTGATCCTGGACCAAGCCCCTTAAGAGATCAAACAACCCTGCTGAAAAAGCTCAGTAAAGAACCGAGCAGCCAGGATAACCCAAGGACTGAGGAAATAAGTCTAGTTTTCCCTGATTTTGACTGTGGAGCCCCGCTCCTTGGGGAAACGCCCCAGTTCTCTGACAACTGTGACACCCTTTCACACCTTCACAGGTTTGAATCACCACATAGGAAGGGGGTGACTTCTCAGCCCCCAGAGGCAGAGATAACACCAGGCCCCCTCCTGCTACCTGTAGGTTCCCATTGCAGGATTCACAGCTGAGGAATATCCAAACCTCAGATGACTGGGATGGCTCCCTTCTACCCAGAGATCAAAGAATGCGCATAAGGCTCATTGAATCTATGGCACAGGATGTAGAGCGGTTTGATCCAGATAACTCAGACCTCTGCATCGATGATTACCTCGAGAGATTAACCTGTGTCTCAGTGAGGTACCTGATGCATCCACAAGAGAAAAACTCAGGCTGATCTGGAAGACAACTTCCAAGAGTGTCCATAACTTCACGACTACCCTTCAGCCTGAGATCAGATACCAGTACTCTGCGCTCTGCAATGCTTTGCGCCAGGAATACTCCACCTACATTGACCCTGCATCTGCCCTTCTTAGTGCTTTCAGTGTCTTGCACCAGAAGCACGAGGCCCCCAAAGATTATTACTGGCGACTAAGATCTGCATATTTCCAGGGACGTGAGGCTCCAGGTTTGGAAGAGAACCCAACTTTCAAGTCCATCTTCATGCACAATCTGCATGGCTGCGTGCGTTCAGATGTCACCCTGCATAGTCGTACACATCAGCTTAGTATGAAAGAGATCAAGAGATTCGCACAGGCGGTTTGGCAGACACGCTTACGTCACGTGTCACGTGAGGGCAACAAGTTGCCTTGTGCTAAGAATAAGAGACCATATCACCGGCAGAATAGAGAACAGAGCCAGGGGGGTGAAGGTGGGACTCAACCACAGAGTAGGTTCCAGCCTGGAGAACTGATCGCTACCAGATCTGAACGGAACTCTCGGGATGGCCGTAGTCTGAGACAGAAGGGTAGGTATAATCGGAGTTCCTACGAGCTCCCTAAGGACTCCCTCGCTTACAGAGAACCCGATTCTGACTCCACATAGGAGTGGGGGTGTAGCCTCCATTGTAGAAACACAACAATGTCACTCTACCGACATGAATATTTCCTAGTCCCTGTTTTGTGTTTTGACATTGGTAGGGAGACACATAATGTACATTTACACACCTACATGCCACAAACACCTTCCCACAGGCTTACTCCTGCCCAGGCTAGGAGTTAGCCCACAAATCTACACCTTATACTCTTCTCTTTCTCCCCTCCTCTTGTCTGTTTGTTTCATTTGTTTTGTTAAGGAATGCACCTTGAGTAGCAAAGCTTTGCTAATGCCTGGTTATGTTTTATGCCTAGCTTTAGACATAGTTAGACAGTCTGCCCAGACTTTGCCTCAGTGTCTGCCCAGACCGAATGCCTCTCAAAATGTATGGACTTTTTGCTCACTAACTATTTGAATATTTGTCTCCTAACACATGGACTGTTGGCCCTATTTGCCCTAAAGACCGCGACCCGCAATCCCATTCTTCAGGACAAAGGGGGGATGTTGGGCCACGCAGGCTTAGGACAGTCAAACAATGGACTTGGGCCTGCACCTCTGTAAAAGCCTCATTTGAGTTATTCACTGAGATCACAAAGAGGCCTAAAAGGACTCTTAATCCCAGAATCCCCTGCGGTACTTCACACCTACGCGTGAAGTAAGGGGGGACCGGAACCTTTCTCTCCTCATTGGAGGGGACCTGAGGTAGACCCCACATGGAGCAGGCCAGGCTACAAAACTCCAAGACTTCCATTGCTCGACCTCTTATCACGCGCTGACTTCTGGTGCTCGGAGATCCAAGCTGATCTCCTGTTTCCTGCAACCATCTTCCTTTGTTTTAAGTTTTTGGCGCGCAGGTAATCCGCGGTCGGCAGTGTTCTAAATTCCGAGCTCGGATTGTCCAGTGTACGCATCTCAGTTTCTCGGAGAGCGTCAGACTATAACAGATTATCAGAAAGATAACGGTCTTATTCCGTCCTGCAACGAAAGGACATCAAAGGACATCTTTCCACTCGACGGAGAACCAACGAAGCCGCTCTCGCCGTAAGGGACCCTCGCCGCCATCAGACGCCTCTGCACCAGGACGGACAGAAGATCTGCTCCATCGCCGGACTCTTTTCCTTTCACCAATCGCGGACAAAGCGATTCACAAGTGAGGCTTAATTAGGTCTGGGCAGAATTAGCTTTAGAGAGTGTTTTTAACAATTGTTGATCAAGCAGAAACTGTAATTTTTATCTTTGTTGGACCTGCGTCCTGAGTTTTAACTGTTTAAAACTCTTGTTGTTGTTTCGGACCGCTGCGTCCTATATGTGTTTAGCGTAACAGCGTTATAACCGGGTATTACTCTTCTGATCAGAAAGGCCAGTGTAAGCCGTATTAACCTGAATTCGGCTATTGGTTTGTTTCTGTGAATGAAGGGAATTACTCCGAGTTGTGGCGCGGGAGTCGGACTGTGATCCGGCCTCTTCAGGCACGCATTTCTCTTTTATTCTCTTTTATTTCCCCTTCTACGAACACACATACACACATATTCCTGTGTAAACGTACATCTGGAGACCAACTCCACCACCGCGCCATTACGCACAGAGATCTATACACTCGCGGCTATCCAGACGCCTCAGAGACACAGATCATGTAGGGCCGAACTCAGTCTCTTTTAGACCTTAAGGCCTTTGTTAGGTGTGTGCCATCGGAAGGGCGACCACGTGGGACGAAGTAATCTTCCCCCCCCTTCTCTCTCCCTTCCATCCACACGCGCACGCACCCAGGTCTTTGTTAGGTTTGCGCCATCGTGAACGACCACGTGGGTACGAAGCCATCTCCCCCCTTTCTTCTTCCCCTCTCTCTCTCTCTCTCTCTCTCTCTCTCACACACACACACACACACACACACACACACACACACACACACACACACACACCTACATTCACACCCCTTCCACAAGCCTTTGCTTGATAATGTTTGTTGCTTAGATTAGTTTATAATAGTTATTTGTTTAATTAAGTTCATTGATTTTGGATTGATGTTGCTTTGTTTAAATAAATTCTGTTATAATTTAAGAGAGCAGTTGTTTGTGGTTACTGGTGTATTTGCATTGTGATATAAGCTGGGTGCGAAGGCTTTGTGTACGGATTTCACGCCTTCAATTTATTAAATATAGTTATTCATTATTAATAATATTAGTAACTAAATAACTAATTTGAGACTGATTTGAGTGATATTTTGGTTATATTTACCTGAGTACAGGTTGGTGCCCCAAAACGAGATTAAACATAGTTTAATGATATTTTATTTATATTATTAATAATTAAGTATAATTATTAAAGAATATAACCAAAGTTGACTTGATACAACCCCAACATCTGTATATATATATTTATTTCTCGTTTACTAGACATAGTTCTGTTTACATCTGGTCACTACTGCACATAGTTCTGTTTACATCTGTTTACATCTGTTAGTCCGATCACTGTCCACTTATATCTACTCTTTTATATTTTGTATTTTTAAGTTAAGTTTAAGCTTTAAGTTGTATTTAAATTGACACTTTATATTTAGGTTAAAATGTTTCATTTACTTGCACTGTTGTTAATTTACTGCTCTGTGTGCCTTTGAATTGCCCCCCGGGGACAAATAAAGTTTTTTTAATTGAATTGAATTGAATTGAACAGTAAGATACAGTAGGCTACAGTAAGATACAGTGAGATACAGTAAAGTTTAGCCTTCAATCTTCACAGCTGTGATGCATTCAGTGTCTGTGGTTAAACTCAGTGTTTTTTTCAGGTGGTCTCACTGCCCTTGCTGCCCGCTGTGCTGGTTTTTAAAGATAGAACCTTCTTCACCTTCGACGGTGAGACAGAAAACTTACCACTTTCTCTGAAAACTTTAGAAAAGAGTCCAGACGTGTATCTTATGGAACAAAGTCTTTTTGTTTTTCATTTAAAGATAAAGAAAGAGGCCTCAGTGGACTGACAGGTGCTCATGTGAACTGCTTCTGTCTCTTTTTCTTTCAGAGGAAGTCGACGGAGATCTGAAGTCATGGATCAACAGAGAACGTTTTCCATACTACTTAAAGATTGACAGCTACACCCTGTACGCCATGGGTGAGACAGGTAACATCCACACAGCTCAGTGTAATGTCACCGCTCAGGTAGACACCTTAAACAAGCAGAAACACATTGAACTTCAACCAACTGAACTGAACTCTTATTGTGAAAAGCCTCAATTAGTCTGACAGGAGAGGAAGCTGGAAATTAAGTACTTCCTGTTTGATGATTGATTTTATTTGTACATTTTTGAGAAGCTACATTCAACACAAACAACAAAAAAGAAAATTAATAACAGAAAATTAAACACACACACACACACACACACACACACACACACACACACAAACACTAACTTTTGATCATGTTTTTACAATTATATAATCTTTATTGTGTTTCTAAAATAATATATTATTGATGTTTTTAACGTTTCTTTGAAAGTGTTTTTAAGATAAAACATTTCTAACAATGGTTTTGTAATACCGTATTTTTACTTTATATATATTTATATGATAATGTTCATGCCTTCTTGAGAATGTGTCTGATACCTCGTGATACCAGAGACACTACGAGAGTGCTGTTCATCTTCAGCAGCAGCTCACAGAGCTCACACGTCTTCTCATGAATATTCTGGTTGTATCATAGCTTTGACATATTTATTATTGCAGGTGGAATTTATGATTACATTTACTTGTCTTATAAATCAGTGTAAGCTCTTAGGGATTTGAACACTAACTGTGCAGAGGTATGTTATTTATGGACCAAAATGTAAGCATATCTTTTTATCCTTGAAACTGAAAGTCCTGCCATCACAAAAGTAAACATGAACCAGACGTGTTCATTGGCCCTCTAATGTACATTATAGAATACATATCATTCAAACAGACCAGACTGCATTCTCTAGTGCACAGCAGCATCTAGTGGACACCAGAGGAACTGCAGCTGCTGCTGAAGCTGCTGATTGGTTGGTGGGGAGTGACTCTGTCTTTTTCTCCCAGGTAAACTAGTGGTGTTGGTGCTGGTGGAGAAAAGGCCATGTGACAAAAGTCTGAGGTAAGATTCCAACATTCAACAGTAGCCAGGTAAACAAAAACTATGACATCATGTGTGATGCGTTTCCTGTTACCTGCTCAGGTATAAAACTCTCCTGGAGAAAGTGGCTGCAGATTACAGAGAGACCTACAGCAGGTCAGAGCCTGTCTGTCTGTCTGTCTGTCTGTCTGTCTGTCTGTCTGTCTGTATGTTTGTCTGTCTGTCTGTCTGTCTGTATGTTTGTCTGTCTGTCTGTCTGACTGCCTGCCTGTCTGTCTGTCTGTCTGTCTGTCTGTATGTCTGTCTGTTTGTGTGTCTGACTGCCTGTCTGTGTCTCTGTCTGTGTGTCTGTGTGTCTGTCTGTCTGTCTGTCTGTCTGACTGTCTGTCTGTGTCTCTGTCTGTGTGTCTGACTGCCTGTCTGTGTCTCTGTCTGTGTGTCTGTCTGTGTGTCTGTGTGTGTGTCTGTCTGTCTGTCTGTCTGTCTGTCTGTCTGTCTGTCTGTGTCTCTGTCTGTGTGTCTGACTGTCTGTCTGTGTCTCTGTCTGTGTGTCTGTGTGTCTGACTGTCTGTCTGTGTCTCTGTCTGTGTCTGTGTCTGTGTGTGTGTCTGTCTGTCTGTCTGTCTGTCTGTCTGTGTCTCTGTCTGTCTGTCTGTCTGTGTGTGTGTGTGTGTGTGTGTGTGTGTGTGTGTGTGTGTGTGTGTGTGTGTGTGTGTGTGTGTGTGTGTGTGTGTGTGTCTGTCTGTCTGTCTGCGTGTCTGTCTGTCTGACTGACTGCCTCTCTGTCTGTCTGTCTGACTGCCTCTCTGTCTGTCTGTCTGTCTGTCTGTCTATTCCAGGTCCTTCTATTTTGGTTTCATGGAGGACTCTAATTACATTAATGGACTTGTGATGGAGTAAGTTTGAGAACCGACTCACTAACATCTCTAGTCACTAACATCTCTAGTCACTAACATCTCTAATCACTAACATCTCTAGTCACTAACATCTCTAATTACTAACATCTCTAATCACTGACATCTCTAATCACTAACATCTCTAATCACTAACATCTCTAGTCACTAACATCTCTAGTCACTAACATCTCTAGTCACTAACATCTCTAGTCACTAACATCTCTAATTACTAACATCTCTAATCACTGACATCTCTAATCACTGACATCTCTAATCACTGACATCTCTAATCACTAACATCTCTAATCACTGACATCTCTAATCACTAACATCTCTAATCACTGACATCTCTAGTCACTAACATCTCTAATCACTAACATCTCTAGTCACTAACATCTCTAATCACTGACATCTCTAATCACTGACATCGCTAATCACTAACATCTCTAATCACTGACATCTCTAATCACTGACATCTCTAGTCACTGACATCTCTAATCACTAACATCTCTAGTCACTAACATCTCTAGTCACTAACATCTCTAGTCACTAACATCATAGTCATAGACGTGGTCAGAGACTCTCATTGGCTCAGGTAAGATGACTGATTGTGTTTGTGTTTCTTGCCATCAGTGATGTCATTGTTCCCTCCTTCGTCGTTGTAAATCTGTCCAATGACGGATACTTCCTGCCACTTGTCGCTGTGGAAACAGAGCGTCACCTGCTGGACTTCTTGGACGGGGTTCTGGACGGCAGCGTCCAGGTGAGTGAGGACGCGTTTGTAGGAGACTTTTATTCTGAAATTCTAAAAGGTGAATGTGTGAACTATTTCCTAACAGGCTCTGGGAGGAAACAGCGTTTATCAACGCATCAGACGAGCTGTTCATGGTGTTAAGACCACACTGCAGGTGAGTCTCATTACTTCCTGTTTCCTGTTTCCTCTCAGTGATGTCTGACTCTCGTCCTGTCTTTGGTGCAGCCTGTGTTCACACAGGCGCCGCTGCTGGTCTGCGTCCTGGTGGGCATTCTGCTCACCCTCCCCGCCGTCTTCTGCTACCTGTGCCTGAAGAAACGACCCACCATTTGTG